TAATAAAAAATATGTTTTAATAATTATATAAATTTTAATTACTATTGTTTTTTACTTAAATCATGTAAGATAAAGTGTGTGATTATTCCTTATCTTTTTAGAAATTAGGATTATTATTATTATTATTAATTATAATAATGTGTTATAATAATTATTCTCAAAATAATGATAATATTACGTTATTATTAATAATAATATTAATAAAAAATGTAAGTAATTATTCTCAAAATAATGATGTTAATATCATTTTTAATTATCTTCTTAAGTATAAGAGGTAGTGTGTGATTATTCCTTCATTCTTTGAAATGAAGATTATGATTATGAATTATAATAATGTGTAATTTGTTTAAATTATTATGTTATGAATAATTACTATTGTTTTTTTGCTTATTATAACAAACACTGGAAGTAAATTGTGTGATTATTCATTAATTCTTTAGAATTCTTTAAGATCATTACTAAATATAATAATGTGTAATATTTTAATAAATATTTTGAGAATTATTACAATTGTTTTTTTTTTACTTGATTTATAAATTATAATAGGCCAAGTGTGTGGTTATTCCTTAATTTTTTATAAATTTTTACAGGGGTGTCAAAATTAATCGTTTCTTCGGTGAACCGCGATGCAGACGCGGACATTTCAGTAATAGTTCAGTAATAGATCATAACTGGTATATGTACTAACGTCATTTATTTCATATGTGCTACATTGCTGTAGCTTACTATGGCGAGGGAGCCCAACGCGAGAAATTAAAACACTGTAATTACTTAAAAAAACAGAAACTCTGCACAAATTACCCCCCCCCCCCCCTCCTTTTTGGGGGGGGGTAAGTTTTTTTTGTTTTGTTTTTTTCAAATAAAATTATTCTGTTGATCAAGGCGGCATTTATTACATGTAAAAATAATTGTTTATTTATTATTATATATAATGTATAATAACTACTTTCCTGCATGTAGTTTCAAATGAAATGATTACTTCTGTCATTATTGCTTTTATTACTATTACAATTAATAATATTACTAATAATATTAACAATAAAAATTAATATTAGAGTGATTTCTGAAAGATTATGTGACACTGAAGACTGGAGTAATGAAGCGGAAAAGTCATTAAAACCACTGGAATAAATTAAATTAAATGATAAACTACTTTAAAACAGTTATTTTATAGTGCGATAACATTTCACAATTTTAATTGATGCAGCCTTGGTGAGCAGGAAACATTTAAAAATCGTACTGACCCCAAACTTTTGACCGGTAGTGTAAAACAATGAAGTTGTCCCCCCAAAAATCAGCTCATATTAAATAATAATTTAAAATAAATGAAATAAATAAATAGTGGTTTTATCAATTCACAGAAACTTCTCCATATCTAGATTTTTGATTGAGTACTTTATTTATACACTAAACAGAAATGGCCAAATTCCATAGCATTTCCTCATACTGTAGTACATTCTGTTTTTAAGACTAAATGATGTGATCTTGTCCAGGTTTCCTAGATACCAGAGGGGGGCAGATAATGTCATTTGTGTTGCATTGTGTTGTGTAGGATGATGCTAATAAGAGTGGTGGTAAATGGATCATTCGGCTCCGGAAAGGCCTGGCGTCTCGCTGCTGGGAAAATCTGATCCTGGCCATGCTTGGCGAACAGTTCATGGTGGGCGAGGAGATCTGTGGCGCCGTCGTGTCCGTTCGCTTCCAGGTACTGTAATCATTTTGCACAAACCCTTTTGTCATAATATCTTTATACTTGTGTGTGTGTGTGTGTGTGTATATATATATATATACATATATATATATATATATATATATATATATATATATATATATATATATATATATATTAGGGATGTAACGGTATCAGAATTTCACGGTACGGTAATACCTCGGTATGAATGTCACGGTACGGTATTTATTGAATCATTTACAGGAAAAAACAAAACTTATGAAAATACTCCAAAAAAGTGCCAAAAGTGTCAATGACATACAAATTAGCCATCTATCTGTAAGCTTTGAAACAGGAACTTCAATTTTAATAACAAAAAAATATTAAACCATGTAAAAAAATTTAGTTTCTATTTAGTATTGTTGAAAACTCATCACATTCAACATTTAATCACTCACTCACTTAGATAGAGATGGGTTTAAAGGAAAATTATCATATAAATATAATCTGGTAAAAGCTGGTATCTCTGAGTATTTACAATGTCCCCTGCAACAGAAAAAAAAACCCTCTCATTTGGGACTGAGGTTTCTGGGACAAGAGAGATATGACTTGGCCCAGGTTGACAGCAGTGGGTAACGTTGTGCATTGTCTTTCCCCCACTTGAGAGGACAAACCATGAGTGAGATAGAGATCTCATGTCTGCATCAATCTGAACAGTGTGCAGTGTGCCCAACTTGCAGGCACATGCACACAGAGTGCTCAACCTGTGCAGTGCACATGCCCTTTTTAGTCTTGGATAGAAAGTTCCCTTCCAAAATGATCAAAAGTGCCCCCGCGACGCGACATACCCTCCGTTCCCGCTTTACAGTACGCGCGCGACAACACAGCTGATAAGAACTCGCGCGACAACACCACTATTCAGTACGCGCGCGACAACACAGCTGATAAGAACTCGCGCGACAACACCGCTATTCAGTACGCGCGCGGCGACAACACAGCTGATAAGAACTCATGCGACAACACCGCTATTCAGTACACGCGCGGCGACAACACAGCTGATAAGAACTCATGCGACAACACCGCTATTCAGTACACGCGCGGCGACAACACAGCTGATAAGAACTCATGCGACAACACCACTATTCAGTACGCGCGCGGCGACAACACCCGCTTTAGGGTTTTCCAGCTATTTTTGATCCCCGCTTCTAGCAGCACACTCCATTTCCGCATTACTGGATCTGTAGCGACAACAGACCACAAGGGATTATGGCCAAGCCTGGGCTGATGGGAATTGTAGTTTCCGGTACCTCCCGTTCGCTTCATTCGCCTGAGCAAATTTTCTCAGAAGACCTATAGTTTTACCGAGTCATGCGACTACGGTAATATCTAAAAAAATTAATATTGCGGTATGACGGTATTTACAATACCGTTACATCCCTAATATATATATATATATATATATATATATATATATATATATATAATATCTATCTATCTATCTATCTATCTATCTATATATATATATATATATATATATATATATATATATATATATATATATATATATATATATATATAAATATTTTTTAAATATATGATTATTTTTTATTCTCTATTATTATCATTTTGTAAAATTCTGCCATTACATGTTTTTGACTCAGGCACAAACTATTTGCAAAAATAATTATTTTATTAAGATTGTAAAAGAAAACTAAACTGAGGGCAGAAAAACCAAGAGATTATGAGGCAGCTCAGGCACTGTTCATGTAGTCATATTTATTCATTTATGTGTTTGTTTTTTTAATTATTTATAGCTTTTTTTCATATTTATTATTTCTTGTTATTAATTATTTCATTATGTTTTATGCGTGTGTAATATAATTTCTCCTGCATTGCTGCAATGTTCCTTGATTTTTACACTGGAATGAGAGTACAGAAGAGTCAGGCTTTAAATAGGAAAGTTACTGAAACTCTTTGCTCATTTTTGAGCTAGATGCTAATAGTCTAATCTAATTCAATGAATTACTGTATGCTAAGCTAAGCTAAAATGCTTTTGCAGATCTGTAGATCGGCTGAATGAATTAAAAAATAGTAAAAACCCGCCTGTTAACTCTAGGGGAGCTGTAAAGAGAGCCTTTTTTAAGTGGAGTTTTCCTTTAAAGCTGTGTTTCTCAACCACATTTCTGGAGGACCACGGGCTCTGCACATTTTCCAGGGGCCTGTTTCAGAAAGGAGGTTTACTGAAAACTCAGAGTATTTTAACCCTGAAATGAGAGAAACTCTGGGTTTTCTGTTTCAAAATGGCAGGTTTGTTAAACTCGAGAAAGCAGGGTAAGTCAAGCCTGTTTCTGAAAGAAAGGTAACTTTAACTCAGAGTCAGTTACTGTGGTAACTTACTCTGTGAATCTAACCTGGTCAGAAGCAGGTTTTATTCTCTAAACTCAGAGTTTCTGTCTGTCTCCTCCCCTTTTTTAAAGATGAAGCGGTATTTCTCGCCTTAGCCTTACGTTTCCACACACCTATTTTAATGCTCATTTTGGATACGTGCATAAAAACGATTGATAGAAACGTCATGATGCACATAACTTTTTAAAATATGCATAAAAAACGCGCATAACTGAGTAGGATAAACTTTAGTTCGATAGAAAATGTGCGCATAAACTACGATGGAAACACTTTTACTGAACAAATTACAGTATGTACATTAAAAAAAAGATCATGATCATTTGATAATGAAAATGTGTGTAAATGGACAAACCAGCAAGCTGAGCACACTGCAGAACATCTTAAATATTGTTTTAGTCATTCTAAAATGCCTTAACTGTTTCAGTATTAGTGTATATTATTAATTACCTCCGAACGTCTGGTGCGTGTCAAGAGTCTCCGCGTCTCATGGCATCAGACGCCCCCATGTGTTCATTGTGTTTCAGCATTGTCTTCTGACATCGAGGCGCAAGTACATTAATTAGGCTAAATAAAGAATTAATTGACGCAGCTTCTTCTACCACAGTAAATTCTGTTTTTACTGTTGATATTTGGTGCCAGTTTAATCGGGAAGTGACGATTTTTTTCTCTTGGACTCGTTGGATGGAATTTTATTTGCATCTTTTATGCAATATTCCAGTTTTGCACATAAATTTATGTAATATATTTGGATGGAAACATAGCTTTTGCCTACATTTTAGTCACGCACAGAAGAACTGTAATAGAATGGCTTATGCTTTTTTAATAAATAATTAAATTGAATTCACCTTCGATATGCACTGTAACTAGATTAATGGGATTATTATTCTTTCTAAAAATTATTTTTAGTACTGCTTACCTTCTAAATGTTATATTAACCTCTATCACTTGATCAATAAAAAAGGCAGACACACAAGTGCACTGTTAAATCATTTAAAACTAATAAATGTATAAAAGAAAGTTTAGAAAAAAATATATAAACGTCACAAATTACATTACTTATTTTATCATACTTAAATATTTAAATACTTAAAAAGTTAAATTAGGCATTAACTTGAGCAGCTGTTTTCCCACGCTAACTGGTTGATGGTTGCTTCTTTTCAAATATATACACTCATATTTGCTATAACTTTGCATGAGAACATCAAGTTCAGCTGGAGAAAGAAATGGTGATCTCTTTTATAAGATATTGCCATAGTCACTCGTAAGGTCTGCGCTCCATTGATAATGCCTTTTTAAAGTCACGGTGTGCGCGCTTAACTCTGAGTTGGTCTACTCGAAGTTGATTGACCCAACTCAGATCAGCTGTTCTGAAACCGAAAACTCTGAGTTTTTAATCTCTCTGTAAATCAACTCAGAGTTCAAGTTTAAACTCTGAGTTGTTTGAACCTCCTTACCAGAGGTGGGACCAAGTCATTGTTTGGCAAGTCACAAGTAAGTCTCAATTCATTGCCCTCAAGTCACGAGTCAAGTCCCGAGTCAAGACAGGCAAGTCCCGAGTCAAGTCCCAAGTCAAAGGCAACAAGTCTCGAGTCAAGTCCAAAGTCCTATAGTTTGATTTTCGAGTCTTTTCGAGTCTTTTTAACAGAAAAATAAAATTTAAACAGATTATGTATGGCTGTAAGATCTGTATTTATTAAACAAACCTTTTTTTTTTTAATGAAAGAACATTGCTTAGATATATAAAGATACAAATGTAATTTTCTGAAAAAGTGCTAAACAGTGCTGCGTCTCGTCTACACAGCCTATTGCACAAGAATGAGTTCCACCAAAAAAAGAGTCCATTTTGCTTCACATCACACAGAAATTGCAGGTCTACTGCTGTCTAGTTCATTAAGTTTAGTTGTGCTATGTTATGTCTTCAGTGATCAACTTGTGATTAACTAAAACTACATAAACAACCTCAATGAGGCAGCAGTAGACCAACTACTCCTGTATGCTGCAAAGTTAAATTGAGTGAACTTGGTATTTTGTCAATTGAATCTCGTGTGTGCTAAAGAGATGGAGATGCAAATCTGTCTAGCAGCAATGTAAAATGGTAGCACATATTCTAAATGAAGTAGGCTACTTCATACAAACAATAACGTTGTTTTCTTCACATAACGTTGAAGAGCTTTGCTCTCTACCTTGTGTGATGCTCGTGCAACGATTTCCTCTGTGGACAAAACTGCTTGCGAGCTCCCAAATATACGCTGCTCACGCGCAAATTTTCTCGCTCTCAAATATGCACTGCTCACGCACACATTTTCCTGCGCGCTCTCAGAGATTATATACAGAATTTGAGTCTTGTGTTTCCTCTTCCTTTTGTGCTTTTTGATATGATTTATATTGAGGCACTATTTATTAACAATAACCAAAATACTAAAATAGACTTACATATTCAATTTGTTATCTATTAAACCACAACATTTTGGCTGTATGTTTTATGATGAGATATTTCCAGTTTCAAACACTTAAAGACACAGAGAATAGAGGTTGGATGTAAAGAATGCATTTTGTTTTACAAACATTTATTAAACATCCAAAAGGTTCACCATACTAATCAAATAAAAAACATTTAAACAAAAATATAACTAACGCAAGCAGAAATGTAACTGTAATAAAAATAAGGAAAAACTAGCTTACTGTACTATTCACTCTTTAAATAAATCTCACTATTAATCCCATTTTATCATGGCAACTACAATAAAGTGAACTAGTCTCTGCTGTCTTCCACATTATTGATGAGATTGTGAAGGACATTTTCCATGTCATCCTCTTCATTTTGAGGAAAAGCTGTTCCACAGGGCCCCTGAACACATCTATTGGCATGGACAGGGTTTTGAACAGTACTATAGTAAAGTACTTTAATTAATCTGTTGGAGTAATATTATAGTTGCTATGGTAACACAAGTGTAATATAAACAAATGACCCAGTGCTGTAGTTTTTTTACAGTATTGGGTATATTATACTACAATTCACTACACTTTACTGTAGTAAAACTACACTCTGTATTTCATTTTATTAGTTCACTATTCTTAATACTACAGTATGCTGAAGCATTCATTAACAACTTGTAAATAATACTAGGCTTAAACATAGGCAGTATACCTAACTCTCAAAAACACTAGTATTTATTATAGAATTTACCTTAACCTCTTAGTTTTTCATGTATTGTTACTAAATAGTTTAGCAATATACAAACCATATCAACATTCTGGAATAATCAATTTATCAGTAGGATCTCTGGAGAGCAAAAGCAGGAAAATTATGAAGCGCCAGTGTGAACAAAACTCAAGCAAACGCAGAGAGACTGAATACGCGCGTGAGAGACCAGCCAATCAGATTGAAGTACCTGCCCACTGGTGAAAGTAATGTTAGAGCCAATCAGATTTTTCTTTCTTTTCATAAAGAACGGGGTTCGAATCCCACTTAGGCACTTGTAAACAATCATTTTAGAACATTTTGTCAAAAATCCCTACTGAAAAAACAGCTTAAACCAGCCTAGGCTGGTTGGCTGGTTTTAGAGGGGTTTTGGCCCTTTCCAGGCTGGTTTCCAGCCATTTCCAGCCTGGTCTTAGCTGGTCAGGCTGGGAGATGACCAGCTAAAACCAGCTATGTCCAGCTTAAACCAGGCTGGTCAAGCTGGTTTTAGCTGGATTTTGCTGGTCAGTTTCCAGCCTGACCAGCTAAGACCAGGCTGGAAATGGCTGGAAACCAGCCTGGAAATGATCAAAACCCCTCTAAAACCAGCCTGGTTGACCAGCTAAAACCAGCTTAACAGCCTAGGCTGGTTTAGCTGGATTTTTCTGCAGGGATATTGTTATGTTTAACCATTTATTAGAGCCACAAAGTATCTAAAACTTGTTTTCATGTTTGAATAGGCAATAAATGTGCTAAATAAATTAAAATAGAAATACCCACAGTGAAACAGTTATATAAATTTAAATATTAGTTTAAATACATTCATAGTGGTTTTAAATATCTTTTAATATGTAAAGTAGAGAAGTTCACATTCAACAAACTGAATAAAACAAGTCTTCGTCTTTAGTTTATTTAAAAACAATTACAAATGGAGTAATTCAACTCACAATTAAATGATCTCATTGAGTGATGGAATAATAAAGGTAAAACTTTAATTGAATTATCAGTCAAGTGTTTCCAAATGAAATCTGTTAAAATAAGAGTCCTACAAAACAGGAACAAAGACACTCATGAAACAAAATGTGATTGTTAATTGTATTTTTTATTAGATGGTTGGTTTTAAGTACTTTAAAAATAGTAGATAATCCTTAAATATAGAGGGGGAAATACAGAAAAACAAATAAACAGAAATTCAACAATATAGATGCATTACATTACAATCTCACAATAAAAATTTAATTAAAAACCATATAGAGGACTAAAATATTGCTAAGAGGCATAACATCAACAATAATAAAAATACCTTTAAGGTTTTAAATACTAAATAAAATTAATAGTATTAATCCAAAATATGAAAAATGTAACACTTTACAATAAGGTTGTATTAATTAATTAAGTTTATGTATGTACTAATGTGAACAAACAATGCAGTTCATTACAGTATTCATTATTTTATGCTTTAATTAATGGAAATAAAATTATTGGTTAATTCTTGTTAACTCACAGTGCATTAACATTAATGTTAACAAGCATAACTTTAAATTGTAATAATGCAATAGTAAATGTTAAACTATAATTAATAAAGGTTTAGAAATATAGTTCATTATTAGTTCATGTTAGTACATAGATTAACTAAAGAAACCTTATTGCAAAATGTCACCAGAAAATAACAAAAAACTTTTCTTTTTTTACAGTTTTAATAGCTTTAAAAATAAATTATATCTAGTTATTATGGCATGTAATTAATGTTACTACTAATTAAATAGTTAGAAAATACTGTCAGAGGATGGGCAAAACACAAAGATAAAACATAATATGCTCATTGACACAAACGACCAAGTGCAAAAACATAAATTACAGACATGTTCATTCATAATTATATGATATAAATCACGAGAGGGTAAATTTGGTTTTAAAAAAACTGAAGTTCATTGACTTATACACAACAGTAAAACAATGCTTTTGCACAACAGTAACACATTGCGAGTAGTAAAGTCTCTTACCTTTGACAGATGTTGTAAATCCGCTGAATAAAACAAAAGGAGCAGACCGCGGATGTGTTTATTTCACCCTCTGAGTCAGAATGAAAATGGCATCTTCAAATTTCCCGCTGGTGCAAAAACACGGAAGTGCGCCACAAAGCGCTAGTGGTCGAAAGTATGCGTGCATGCTCTCTGTCACACACGCACACACACACACACACACACACACACACACACACACACACACGCAGAGATAGGGCGTTCTGTGTCAACATACTTTTTATCTTTGGGCTTTTTATAGAAAGTAGCAAGTCTTTACAAGTCAATAGGCGCAAGTCCAAGTGAAAGTCTGAGTCATTTATGTTCAAGTCCAAGTCGAGTTGCAAATCTTTTCATATTTTGTCAAGTCGAGTCTGAAGTCATCAAATTCATGACTCGAGTCTGACTCGAGTCCAAGTCACATGACTCGAGTCCACACCTCTGCTCCTTACTGAAACAGGCCCCTGGTCTTCTTAACCAAACACACCTAATTCTGATCATCAGCTCATTCGCAGAGACTGAAAAAGCTGTAATAGGTGGGACAGAAAGAGGAGACATCTAAAACATGCAGTGTTGGTGAACAAACCACTGCTTTAAAGTACATAACATTTTAGATTTTTTTTTAGTAATTTTTTAAATTACTAAAAAAATTTTTTTTTAAAAACTTAAAAATTTAATTTTTATATAAAATATTTACAGCTTTCATGTTTAATACTTCTTATATTGGGAATGCAGAATCCCTGAGCTTTTTAAAATGATTTTAAATGTGATTTTAAATATTACTTTGTTTTTATTATAGTTGCTTTTTTATCGTTTATGCATAAACTATTTTATGTATCTTTTAGTTTTGTACTTTTTATATGTATGTAAATAAAGCACTCTGAAATGCTTCTTTTGAAGGCACAATATGAAATAAAGTTTTTTGAATAATTAAAAATAAACAAATAATTCTAAATAAATGAATGAAAAAAATCTGAATTTGAAACTCAAAATCTGCCATTTTGCTTGTGAAAAATGTTCAAACAGATTATTGTGTCTCTAATTCATGCGGTAGATTTTTATGTTATAGTATATGCATGTTATAACAGTATTCAGATTTCTCTGTGTAGGTTTCAGAGTGTATCATATCATTTCACATGTATTGTGTTCATGAGTGCAGCTTATAATAAGAATAATAAATAATGATTGTTTGTTTGAAGGAGGATATCATTTCCATCTGGAATAAGACGGCCAGCGATCAGGCCACCACTGCTCGCATTAGAGACACTTTACGCAGAGTCCTCAACCTGCCTCCTAATACTATAATGGAGTACAAAACACACACCGACAGCATCAAGTGAGTTACACAACACACATTAATGCATATATACACACTACTGGTGGAAATGACTTTGTTGTGCAGAAAGACTTCCAAAATTTAATTGTACAGGGTGGGCCATTTAGATACACCTTAATAAAATGGGAATGGTTGGTGATAATAACGTCCTGTTTGCGACACATTATTATATGTGAGGGGGCAAACTTTTCAAGATGGGTGGTGACCATGGTGACCATTTTGAAGTCGGCCAATTTGGATCCAACTTTTGTTTTTTCAGTAGGAAGAGGGTCATTTGACACATCAAACTTATTGGGAATTTCACCAAAAAACAATGGTGTGTTTGGTTTTAACAAAACCCTATTCTTCATGTGTTATTTACAAGTTTCTGACCACATATAAAATGTGTTCAATGTGCTGCTCATTGTGTTGGATTATCAATGCAACCCTTTCTCCTACTCTTCACACATTGATAGCAACACCGCAGGAGAAATGCCAGCACATGCTTCCAGTATCCATTGCTTTAGGTGCAGCACATCTTGTATTTTCACACCATGGACAAATGCTATAGTTAACTTAATTCGATATGAACAAACTGAATAAACAAAGAGCACTGGTCGCTCACTTACCAAATCTGTAGAGACAGGACAATCACCAGCAACTAGGGCTGCGTCTTTATGGAGAGAATACTACAAGCGAATCCAGATTTCAGCGTTTGCAGATGAGAACAGCTCTCAGGTAAACAATAATCCTCCTTAGACACGTAAGTTATTGTTGTCGAGCGTCGCGTACACTGTTAATCCACACGTGATCCAGATAAGCTCTCACAGAGAGAAAATGAAAACGAAACTTAACGGCAGCAAACTATAAAAGCAACACTTCACGCTTGTTTTGCCAACACAACGTGGCGTCTTTGTGGTGTAAACACGGTGACACAAATGAATATTAATGAAGTTGCACAATAGAGCGCGCTGATTGGTTTGAACAAAGCCTTACTCATGCATTAATGTATCGCACTGTAAGACGTAATAAGACTCACTCAGGCACAGATGCCCAGTCTGCACGCTGGAATACACGCTATTATGTCATGGCCGTGACGCAGCTTCAAAAATTCGTTTCAAACAGGAAGTACGAATTTGCTTGAAATAACGCAAAAACAACCAATTTACACTTTTTAGTGAAATATAGGTGTCCTAATAGTGTTTTTAGCAGTGTGGGACACATATACGACTGTCAACAGCTCAAAAAATGTGTTTTGGTGTTTCGTGACCCTTTAATGAACGATTAAAATCTACTCACTATTTACTCACACTTCACTTGTTTCAATACTATAGGAGTTATTCAATAATATTCTTTTTGTGTTCATGAAAAAAAGAAAACTCAAATGTTTGAAAAAAGTGAAGGGTGTAATGAAAATGGTAAGTAATGTATGGGTGAACTCTCTGTTAATAATGCATGCAGATAATAAACCTTTACTTTATTATGTTTAAACTCTGTATTAAACTATACTCATATCCTGAGATGTGACTATTGCAGATGCACACATTACGATATCGATGCTGAATCGATATATTGTGCAGCCCTAACTTGAATATAGGTTAGTTGTCTTTACTTCTTTTCTGTCCTTGGCCAAAAACTTGCTCTCACATTGTTAGTGCTGTGTAAGCATTGTCAAAATCAATTTTACATAGATATAAAAACACATTTAAACAAAAGAGATTGTTGCGTCTTCTATGATATGCTGTAATAAATTTGAATGTCATTGTTTTTCTAATTATTTACCATGTATATGTAGACATTACATCATGAAAATGTACTTGAAAGATCTGGAAAAGTCTTAGAAAAGTCATGGAATTTTAGTAGTAAAACTGTGTATGAACCCTGCTAGGAACTAATTTCTTATTGCGGCATAATAATGAAGGAACTTGTGTACTAGTGATATTGCCCAGTGATAATACACAGAACCTTAAAATACTTGAGAGTCAACTCTCACAAATGTCTCCATGCTTGCAAGATCTTCAGGTGCCTACATATTGCCCACATGGCTGCAAATTTCCTTGATTACACTGGAATGAGAATACAAAAGAGTGTACAGGAGGGTCAGGCTTTAAAACAACTAAACTCTGTGCTATTTTTTTTTTTTAATGAGATGCTAATGGTCTAATTCAAATAAATGATTTATGCTAAGCTAAGCTAAAGTGCTTCAGCCAGACCTGGGCACGGTTTTTCGAAAAGTTTAATCTGGATAAAATTGATCCAGATTTAGTAATCCTTTTTTTTTTTTTTTTTTTGCGATCCATGATCACGCAATCCAGCTTACTTTTTGAGACAGTTTTTCAAAGCAATATTGGATTGGATCAATCTGATCTGGATAGGAACTTTTTAGTATCACTAAATCTGGATTACCAGTGCTCAAGCAGGATGGGAAATCACAACGAAGCTGTGCTTCTGCCCTTTCAGTCTATTTTTGCAATTGTTGAAAGTGATTTTAGAAATCAGTGATTGCCATTCTTTACCTTTTTTTGGTTATTCTGTAATTATTGCATGCATCACTAATAAATATTCTAAAAAGTAAAATATTTTCCATTGTGATGAATATGTATATCAGTTAGTGACAGAATAAAATGTACAGTTTTTGGGCTATTTTGACAGCTGTTTGGGGGATTATTTTATCAAGCCAAACTCTTTCTACTTTGCTGTACATTAAAGCCTACCTAATCACTGTAGCCTGATTGATGAACAAATACAATTAAAACCTTATGAATGAATAGGATATCTTGTAAGATACTGCATGATCCATATTTAGTGTTATTTGATATTTTTAAAGTTTTCATTACATTTTGGGCCTGAAATCCACGATGAATCCACTCTTCTGCTGGGATCAATTTAATCCAAATTTTTTGGATCAAAGTGATCCAAATCCTACAAAAAAGGTCTGAAAAACCCAAACTAAAGGTTTGATCCAGATCAAAAGCAAGATTGGATGACGTGATCTAATCCAATTATGTAATCTGTTTTTTTCTTTTAAAAAACCCATTTTCAAGATATGATCCAATCCCTTATCCAAAATCCTAGTGGATTACTTTTGAAAAACCGGGCCCTGGAGATCGGCTGAATGGATTCAAATCTAGTAAAAATCACCAGAGAAGTTGTAAAACGTGCCTATTTTATTTATTTATTTTAAAGTGGAGCGTTCCTATAAAAACCAAATATCATGCTTGAGTAAAAATTTGATTGACACACTAGATGATAATAATCTATTTGTGATGTTTTTCAGAGCTTGGGAGGATTTCCATGGTCTAGTGAACGCAAGTGGAGGACGCTAGTATTTTCACCCAGTGTGTGTGTGTGTGAGATGGTATAAACTCATGACTGACACGTAAATCACTCACACTAGAGCTGCTCAAACATCAGTGAGATTTCAGACCATGTTCAACGATGCCTTAAAACATTACTTCTTTTTTTCCCCATCTAGATCTATGAACTTTATTTCCCCAATGAAGAGGTCATTTTCTGATCACACCAACCTGAAACTGAGCTGTTTTTAAAAGAAAAAAATGAAAGGGACGCCACAAAATGGGGCTCAGCATGGGTTATTTTTAATATTGAAGACTTCTGGCTTTTTATAAACGTCCAAACAACACCTGAATAAGGAGGAGGAGGAACCAAAACATCAATGGGTGAATGATTTCCAGTCAGCCATCTTTCAGACAGATAGCGGGACCACACAAACTAAAGGCTGGAAACTGCCACATTTTCCAAAAACAACAACAACAAAAAAAGATGAATTCTTACATTTACCTGACCGATCATCTTAAAAACTGAAGAGAGTTCATTTAGGTCACATTATTATCCAGTGGAGTCGCAGGCTGATGGGGATATTTTACTATAGTGCAGTATTTTAGCTACAGTGTCGAGTTGTTTTAACATAGAACTGTTGTACAAAAAAAACAATTATATTTGTAAACATATTTGGAGAGCTGTATAATAGCGGACTTGTTTTTTTTCTTCTTTCTCCTGAGCTGAAGGAGTGTAAACCCAAAGGACAGTGCCCTTTATGGATGGGCACGGCGCTGCGTGATTCACTGTGCCTGGCCTTCATAAACACTGACTTTACAATCACTATTCAGACATGCTAACTAACAAACACTGATATATCTGGAGTTACTGGAGGCTGTGGATCAACACCTACTTTATACTGCCTGGACTTCAGTGCTGGTGCTGGACAGTTGTATTCGAGGTACATTAAAAAAAAAAAAAAGAAAAACTAAAATAAAAAGTGGAAAGTTTTTAATTATTGATCGATCACAGCAATAAATGTTGATTATGCATCTGCTGCTAATGTTCTGGCTGTGGTTGTGGCTTTTCATGTTCCATCATGTGTGTTTTTTAGTCATATTTTTCCTATTTGATGATTTATGGTGGGTTATTTACATTTGCTGCATTATTACTGTTGCTACTTGAATTTAATATCTAGGAAACGTTACTTTTTCTGTGATTGAATAGTCGAAGATGGCATGGTGGTTAGCACTGTTACTGTTACTACAGCAAAAAGGTCGCTGGTTTGAGTCCTTGCTGGACCAGTTGGTATTTCGGTGTGGAGTTTGCATGTTCTGCCTGTGTTCCTGTGGGTTTCCTCTAGGTGCTCAGGTTTCTCCCACAAGTCCAAAAACATACATTATAGGTGAATTAGATTAACTAAAGTGGCCGTAGTGTGTACTGTACAGTATTGGGTTGCGGCTGGAAGGGCATTCGCTGTGTAAAAAAAGAAAAAGAAGCTGTTTCTCAATTTCAAGAATGCAGAGAACAGACTTGTGTTCTTTTGGAGACGGTTCTTGCCAAATCACTTGGGAAGAACAAACTCGGAACACCGCGAGAACAGAGTACACGTCCTGTGAGAAATGAGTTGCTGCCTTCTTCCTGATGGTCACTTCACACATTTGAAATGATTTATTAACAAATGATTTAAACATTACGGCATTCATACAATGAGTTATAGTTTTCCCCTTTTCAGTATATGAACTATGCATAAAAACCTTACAAATATACATTTGAACAATACAAAACAGATTTTAATAGGAATTTCAACAAATAAACACCTTTAATGTCTATATGCCTATTTTGTTGGTACTTTTGTCGTCTCATTTAGGTAAACTAAGACAAGCAAGTTATATCCCCAAACACTATAATAAATCGATATTTTAAAAAAATGCTGCGTTTCGCATCTCTTTTATTTAGCCACAATGACTTCTGGGACTTCAAGTGAGATTTGCACTCAAGTCTGCATCGATGCGTCCTCAATATCAAGAACCCCTCCGGGAACTTTCACGCATCCTCTGTTCTTGCAGTCTTGAGTTTTGAAACTGAATTTGGCAGTTGATGACACCGTTACACGAGTACGCAAGAACGCATATTAAGAAACTGCCATATTCTGGAATAGTTGGCAGTTCATTCAGCTGCGGTGACTCCTGATTAATAAGAGATTAAGCCAAGGAAAAATAATGAAAAGTAAAAATGTATTTTTTGTAGGGTCATGTGAAACTACTTATCTTTTAATATTTACTATCATTTTGTATGTAAAATATGAAGCATAATATTTTAACTTGTTTTTAATAATCTGTTTGTTAATCCGTTAACACTTCATTTTGATGGTCCATTTGAGTATTAGTAGACTGTCTGCTTAATATTTGTTGATTCTGCTCCTTTAACAGACATTGTTAAGCAAGCAGGTCAGGATAATTAGGCAAGTTATTGTATAATGATGGTCTGTTCTGTAGACTATCGAAAAAATATAGCTTAAAGGGGCTAATAAGTTTGACCTTAAAATGTTTTTAAAAAAATTACAAACTGCTTTTATTCTGGCCGAAATAAAGACTTTCTCCAAAAGAAAAAAATATCAGACCTTGTGAAAATTTCCTTGCTCTGTTAAGCATTATTTTGCAAATATAAAAAAAACAATGCAAAAGGGGGCAAAAAATTTTGACAAACTGTATCAGGTAGGTCTCGAGAAAGGGGGATGGGGGATAAAAAAGGTAGGATGAATAAGGTTATTTATTGGAGGGTAGATTTCATCTGATTGGACTAGCAATGATTACTGATGCGAGAGCAGCTGCGATCAATCATATCATGTGCTCCTCTCGAAACTACTTCGAAACTTCATTTATTGAACTTCTAACGGGAAAGTAAGGACTTTTTCAAAACCATACTTTATGAGCATGTAGCTTTTATGATTAAAATTAAAAAACAAACACTTCAGTTGTATTCATATTAGAGCTGCACAAATGTTGGAGAAATGTAACACTTCATATTTTTTATTTTGCATTATGAATACAATTCCACCAGATGACTTAATATCTGTATTTGGAAAGAATTTATAATGTAAGATTTATTGGGATGATCCTGCCGTTTTTATGCATCCCCATAAAAATCCAATAAGCAAACTATAAATACAAAAAGAAATAGAATTGAAGGAAACTGAGTTTTATGGTTTTTAAAGTCTAAAAGTATTCATGTAAAATAATTAATAAAAAAATAAACATTCATTCACGTTCTTTTCAGCTTGGTCCCTTTATTAATACGGGGTCGCCACAGCCAAATGAACTGCCAACTTATCCAGCATATGATTTACGCAGCGGATGCTCTTTCAGCTGCAACCCATCACTGGGAAACATCCACACACTCGTTCACACACATACACCACAGACAATTTAGCCTACCCAATTTCACCTATACCGCATGTCTTTGAACTTGTGGGGGAAACCAGAGCACCAAGAATAACGGACTCGAACATGGGGAGAACATGTAAACTCCACACAGAAAAGCCAATTGACCCAGCCGAGGCTCGAACCAGCGACCTTCTTGCTGTGAGGCAAACGTGCTACCCAATGTGCCACCGTGCAGCCAAACAATAAACATAATTCAATCAAATGAATCATTATTAAAATAACAAATGGTACAATGTCTTCTGCCTGAATCCTTTTAAAATCATACAATCAAAAATATGAAATTATAAGTTGTAATACAAACTCAACATTGCATTTCCTGCTATGCGATTATAGCAAATGATCACATTGTGATATCGATAATGAAATGATACATCATGCAGCCCTAATTCATATGATTAAATATGCCGCTCGGAGAAGTTTCTAATATTACAATGGCCAACAGTTTATCAGACAACTAGCAGCTGTCTTCACATAATATATCCTAATGAAAATGTTATTGCCCTATAAGCGATAGATACACAACTTAAGTTTAATACAGTCAGGATTTTGATGACTGCTTAAGTCTAGATAACAATCATCTTTAAAGCTGACTAGCTATTTAAAAGTAACATAAAAAAAGTTAAGATTACTTTACTAAAAAACATATAAAAACAGTGACCTTCAGGTTATGTTCTATTTAAAATAGTTTGTGTATTTTACTGGCTAAAAAATAAGATCACTTAAGTCTTGTGGAAAATAGCACAACAGCAGGTTTTGAGGCCCTAGAAATTTGCATTTCAATTAGTATACAGTAGGATTCATAGGAATAGTATTGTGCAAAATTCAGTGATCAGCGTCTAAACCCAGTTTTTGTTCAAATGCTTTGTTCAGGCATGATTACTGTAGTTCAGATTTAATTAGCTCAGAAAAGCATCACTCATCTGTGTTCCTGTGGTTACCATAGAAACAATGCATTGCTTCGTCATAAGTCATCGCAGTTTTATATAGATGGGCTCCCACTTCACTTCAAGGTGATGTTTCCAGGTTGAAGCAGACGGCTTTAATGTTTGCTTAGCTCATCTCAAAAAACATGTGATTCTGCAAACAGATAACCAATACAGGAGTTTAGCAGATTAGTAAAGCACCAGCATGTGCGTGTGTGTGTGTGTGTGTTTGGTAACTGACCAGCAGAAAGGCAGCAGCGAGTAACAGCACTTTAGTGTTCAAACTCATTTCTTGAGGAACTGAGAGAGAAAGCAATGCTTTGTTTATGCAATTCTTGAGCTGAAGCTACAGTACAAAAATGTAAAAAATAAATAACTTGTAAAATGAGTATATTTGTCTGCTTCCCTGCATAAAGGCTGGTCCAATATTAGCAGGGTTTAAAAAAACTATTTCTTACCATCCAGTCCAAAGTACTCATGATCCATGTTACACTTGTCATTATATCCAGGCCACTTCTTCCATATGCGGCCGATACTCTCGCCAATAGTGGACACCACCTTTAAATGGGGAAACAAGACAGTAAGAACAGCATGAAACGGTGAGCAATGTATGCCAAGCCAATTTAAATTCAATCTATAAAAATTTCAAAACCTGTATTAAAAAAAGCTATAAAAACATATTAGTTGCTTTTACAGTAATTAGCTGACTTGACAAAGGTGAGTAAACCTATTGGTTTTGAAGTGATTGATTGACTTAAAACAACAACAACAACGAGTGTACTCACTTTTTTAAAGCGATTAGTTTATTTTAAAAAGTGATTATGCCGCAGTCACACTAGAGTTTGAGCATGCAAAATTTTGTGGTACATTGCTGCGAAAAGGGGTGGGATTAATCAAGATGATAAGACATTTAAGAAAAAAGCGACCGATTAGTCCATGTTTTAAATTCTAGTCCATAGAGGTCATGTTTTGATCTTCAATTGGTCTCAAGCAATCATATGATGCGTTTTTGCAGGTCAGAGTTCACCAAGCTTGAACTTTCCAACACAGCAAACTGTGAAACTTGCCGCACGACATTGGGTTTCCGGTCTGAATCATTAGCGTGCATATGAATGGAAGTCTATGGGGAGAAAAGTCCAGTGTGATCGCCGCTTAAGTTGACAACAAAAGTGAGTTTACCTGTTGCTCTTACAGTAATTAGTTGACTTTACTTTAAAAGCAATTGGACAAATTTGTAAAAGTGAGTAACGCATGACTTTGGACTTGTGGGGGAAACCAGAGCACCCGGAGAAAACCCATGCGAACAGGGGGAGAGCATGCAAACTCCACACAGAAATGCCAACTGACCCAGCCAGGACTTGAATCAGCAACCTTCTTGCTGTGAGGCGAACGTGCTACCCACTGCGCCATCGCATTGCCCTTTAAATCGAGTAGTTAGCTTTAATTCAAAAAAGGCAAGTACACCTGTTGCTTTTAAATCAATTAGTTGCCTAGCTAGCAAAATTCATGTGGCTCAAATCCGGCCCACACCAGACACTTGCATCCGGCCTACATTCCGCATGGAATGATGGCACTTGGGCAGTCCACTTCTGTTTGCCAAATCTGGACCACAATTAAGCCATAGCATCACATAACTAAATGAACCAGAACCGACCCTATTCTGGGCCACAAATTGCTTTTATTCTGGCCCACATCTGGCCTACACCTCACACTTGCTGGGTGTGGCAAAGTGCAACAATCTAATCTAAAGTGATTAGTTGACTTTACTTTAAAAAGGTCAGTACACTTTTAAATTTAAGTTCTAATTTGATTCTAAAACTAGATGACATACTTGTACCTATTATAATAGACATAGAGTGAATAGTTTATATAATATATATATATATATATGGGCACTTATTAGATACTTTCTTTATTAGATATTAGTATTTATTTAAAAAGTTACAAGATTTGAAACTGAACTTTATTGTGGCTGTTCTGCCTTTTTTGTTAAATTCATAACATTTACAATTAAAAAAGATACTATAAAGAAAATAAGTAGTGTGAATATAGATACAAGAAGCAGGTTAATTAAATTAAATGTAAAAACAGCTTGCCATAGTTAAGGTAAACAATGGGTGGGTTTCAGACCTGCAGCTCTTGCTCAGACAGGCATCGTGTGTTACAGCAGGAGCCCTGGATCCTCATAGCAGAGATTCCCTCAGAGTCACACACCTCCAAATATGGCGTGAACATACTCCACCTGATGGGTCAACAGCTCACAGATCATACACACTCATTAGTTCATTCACTTTTCTTCGGCTTAGTCCCTTTATTTATCAAAGGTCGCCACAGCGGAATGAACCCCAACTTACCCAGCATGTGTTTTACAGAGCGGATGCCCTTCCAACTGCAACCCAGCATTGAGAAACAACCATACATTCTCAATCACACACATACACTTATGGCCAATTAAGTTTATTCCATTCACCTATAGCGCATGTCTTTGGGTGATCTGGTTTCCTCTACAAGCCCAGAGGAAACCCACTCCGACACAGGGAGAACATGCAAACTCAAGACACAGAAATGCATTCACTCCAAAGAGTTCAATTTTAGTCTCATCAGATCAGAGAATTTTGTTTCTAATGGTTTGAGAGTCCTTCAGATGCCTTTTGGCAAATTCCAGGCAGGGAGTGGCTTCTGTCTGGCCATTCTACCATACAGGCCTGATTGGTGGATTGCTGCACAGATGGTTGTCCTTCTGTAAGGTTTTCCTCTCTCCACAGAAGAAAGCCGGAGCTCAGTCAGAGTGATCATCTGAAAGGCCCTTTTCCCCTGATCACTCAGCTTAGATGTTTGGCCAGCTCTAGGAAGAGTCCTGGTGGCTCCAAACATCTTCCACTCACGGATGATGGAGGCCACTGTACACATTGTACCTTTCAGAGCCGCAGAAATGTTTCTATAACCTTCCCCAGCCTTCTGCCTTAAGATAATCCTATATCGGAAGTCTACAGACAATTCCTTTGTCTTCATGCTTGGTTTGTGCTTTGACATGCACTGTCAATCCTGGGACCTTATATAGACAGGTGTATGCCTTTTCAAATCATGTCCAATCAACTGAATTGACCACAGATGAACTCCAATTAAGCTGCTGAAACATTTCAAGAATGATCAGCGGAAACAGAATGTACCTGAGTTCAATTTAGAGCTTCACAGCAAAGGCTGTGAATACTTCTGAACGTGATTTTTCTTTTTTTTTCTTTTTTTGTAAATTTCCAACAATTTCAAAAAATCTTTTTTCACATTGTCATTATGGGGTATTGTGTGTTGAATTTTGAGGAAATAAATAAATTTAATCCATTTTGGATTAAGGCTATAACATAAAAAAGTGAAGCGCTATGAATATTTTCTGGATGCACTGTACTTTTAAAAAACGAAAATATGAAAAGAATATGTTAAACTGGTGTTTATAAACTCTGGTTTTGGTGATTTTGGTACAATCAGGATGTTCTCATGTCACACTTAGTGAACCAAGCTTATTACTGTCCTTACCAGTGCGTGAATTCATGTACACAACCTACTGATAAATGGCCCAGGGTACTAGAGTTCTGATTGAGACGCACCCTCAGCGATCAGTTTATAAATGATCCATTTTCTTTGTGTAGCAAACATTCTTCTACTTTCCTCTGCTAAACTTTTGTGTAATGCAAGGGTCCAATAAATGTTAAAGGTCCTCATGGATATGCCTATAAAATTATATGATGAACACTTACAGCATATCCTGTTTCCACTGAGTGGTAATGTACGGGTCACCTTTATCAGGCTTGCGTTTCCATTGCCAGAATGGGACTAAGGTGGCGTGAGCGGGGTGTAAGACAAAGTTTTAGTCTACGTCATTCTCAGTCGAAGAACTGTCAAAGGTAATTCACGGGTCATTCACAAATCATATGATAAGCACTTCTCACAAAACAGATGCTTTATATACATATAAATACTTGTGTATAAATGTTCATTACTTCTATGAACAGGATATGATTATAACTGCAGTTCAATGATGGGGCGAAATAAATTACTGTAACGTCTACAATTATATAAAATAAATGAATAAAACATAAGAACACGTACAGACCCTTACAGTCCCCGATATGTTACCAATTACAGAAAAACTACACACAACATACATTTAGTCCTTAATTGGGTTCAAAAACAACACGCAACATATAGCCTAGTCAGTGCAAACCTCTCATCTGTATCTTTAATCGTCAGCAGCATGTTACCTTCTGCTGCTGAAGAAATTCCGAGTTCATAATAGTCCAAAAGGTAATGATAATGGTTAATCATGGTAGTTTGTTCATGTTTTAGGTTGCTGAAAGAATCATTTGCTTTGTTTATTCAGGCTTCTCCTTCTTTTTTCACGTGTCACTCTTCCATTTATGAAAGGATCGGATGTCAAAAGCACTTCAATAATCACGTGCACGTGATTATTATCAGGTCCAGAAGTTCATTATTTCAAATATAGACACACAGCGACTGATCGCAAACTCTGGATAAAGTGAAACCGCTTAAACTTTTAAACAGGCTCGTAAAACAAAAGGACACGGAAGCTTTTATTCTTCTTGGCTTTGTGGCTGTTCATCAAGACAATGACAAGGTTTGTTTGAGCTCGGGTTGACCATGGCTTTTTATTACTGTATATTGTCACTTTGGAATAAGGTTCTATCTGACATTTTTGTCAAAATTAAGTTATTGACATATTCTCATTAAATGACAACTTATTTACAATATGGGATGTTTATTTTGTAAGTTGTTTGAATTTGAAGACTTTAAAAAAAAAAAATGTTACACATACTGTTTGCTATATGGAATGCAAAACTTTGAAGCTCGATATCTCAAAAATATTCTGAATGCAGATAGAGTCTTATGATTCCAAAGTGATGATCTGTAAATATTATTATGGTGTAATGCCTCGATTGTGTGTTTAAAAATAGTGCTTCCTTTGTTTTCATTCTCCTGCTTCTGTTCGCTATGGTGACGTTACTCTGTAAACCAATATTGTTCAACTGCGCATCTGGCTTGCTGTCTTTTAGTACCCATCTGTTGTGCTAGGTAAACTTTGCAAATTGTACCTAAAAAATGGTAGGGTATGGTTCGCTTTTGGCCCGTTTTTACTGAGTGGTTTGGTACGGTTCGGTTTAGTACGCTTTTACGGCTGTTTCCCCTGTCAAAAGGCATAACGAACCAAACCAAACATGAGAAAGGGTACCAAAAGGTGGAGCAACACGTGTAGCTGAACGCTGATTGGTTACAGAAAAACGTCACAAGCTTGTGGAGTAAGCCAGAATGAAAACAAAGGAATCCCCATGTTTTAAATACTGTACACAGCCAAGACGTTACATTATTATACTATATGCATATAATAATGAGCCATGGATGACCCGAACTCAAACAAACCTTGTCGTTGTCTTGATGTACAGCCACAAAGCTAAAAAGAACAAAGTCTGCCGTTGTTTTACAAGGTCATCTAAAAGTGAAAGCAGTTTTCGCTTTCTCCAGGGAGCTCGTGATTGTGTCTATATTTGATATAACGAACTTCTTGAGCTGATAATAACAACGTATGTGTAAATATTTTAGTGTCTCTGATATCTAGTCCTTCCAGAAAAGAAAAGAAGCGCGAAAAAACAAAGGAAAAGCCCAACAAAACACAGAAGCAAATCGTTTCAGCAACTTAAAACATGAACAAACTGCCATGTTTATCATCGCCTTTTGGACTATTATGAACTTGGAATGACAGAATTACTTTCTAATAGAGTTTACATGTGCTGGTGAAGATTACAGACACTGATGAGAGGTTTGCACTGACTCTGGGCTATATTGAGTGTAGTTTTTGAACCCAAATAAGGACTAAATGTATGCTGTGTGTAGTTTTTTTGTAATTTGTAACATATCGGAGACTGAAAGGGTGTGTTATGTGTAATATATGTTGCATTTATTTATTTATTTGATATAATTGCAGACGTTACAGTAAGCTATTTCGCACTGTCAATGATGTGTAACTATAATCAAATTATGTTCATGGAGAAGTTAGTAATAAACATTTATACACAAGTATTTCTATGTATAAAAAGCATCTGTTTTGTGAGACGCACCTCTCATATGACAGCTTTACTGTAGGCATTTATTGCAGGGAGAATAACGTCGAATGAAACTTGTACAACACGCCCACCAAAAGAGTACCCTTGGTAGTGGAAACACAAGCCTGATAAAGGTGTTGGCGTGGGTTCCTCTGGGTGCTCCAGTTTTCCCCACAGTCCAAAGACATGCACTATAGGTGAATTGGGTAAACAAAATTGACTAGTGTATGAGTGTGTGTGTGAATGCAAGTGTGTGTGGGTGTTTCCCAGTACTGGGTTGCAGCTGGAAGGGCATTCGCTGTGTAAAACATATGCTGGATAAGTTGGCGATTCCTTCCACTGTGGCGACCCCTGATGAATAAAGGGAATAAGCCGAAGGAAAGTAAATAAATGAATTTGGAAACAGATTACATAATCCAGATTGCATGTAAGTATTTACATCCCAGCAGTGATGACAACGGCAAATCAAGATGCTCAGTCGGCCAAAAAGCCACAATACACTTCCAAAACGAATCGCTCAAAGACGTGGCGTGTCAAGCCTCTTAATGAGACTCGCATTTAATGATTTTGTTTTGGAAAAGAGTTTTCTCCGCCCTAGTGAATGTGCATTTGTGTGTGTGTGATGGATATAATGTTAGCCTGTCATGACCTGATGCTCAAAGGCTCTGTGTGCGACAACAAACAAACACGGCACTGCCTTTGTTCACGACTGTCCTGAGGAGGAGGTCATGTTGATGCTTTCATATCAGAAAGTTCATCAAAGTTCTGTCTCCGCCTAAAAGGGTTAATCCAGGGTTAGTTCCCCCCTGACGCAGTTAGAAGAAACACAATGGTGACCTCGTCTGACCTCTGCACAATAGTTGGCACTGTGAAGAGCCATGATGTGGATGGCAACGTCTGCACAATAGATTTACAGTACAGGCGTTTAGTTCATCCATTGCACAACAGTTAGATCCGCTTGACAACATGACTGGATATGCTGAATTCTGAGTGTGTTAAAGGAATAGTTCACCCGAAATAAAACCCTTATTCGACGTTGCTTACCCTCAAGCCATCTACAGTGTTCAAGATTTTTTTTCTGTCAGACAAACACAGATGTAGTATAGACCATTTTGAGGAATGTAAATGATAACAATGGCCCTAATTTACATTTTTGATTTCCAAAAGTGCCACGGATTGGTAAATAATATTATGACAGCTGTTTTGACACCAAGTTATGATGGAACTGCCTCTTATTACAATTATGAAATAGTTTGACAACAAGCAGGATATGTTTATGGGCCAATTACATCACCACATTGAAATGGACATGCAGTATTTCGACATTATGTTACTACCCTGAGATCCCCGTATATCAGAGATTCATCCACACAGGGCCTTAAAATGTTTGCTGGATGTCTACCTTTGGTGAACTGTCCCAATGAGTTCTCTCTCTGCTGTATAGGCCCTTATTTCCATCAGGCAGCAGCCGAGGCAGCACATGTCGGCTCTCAGGGGCCTCTCGAACAGAAAGACACACTCCGAATCCTTGTCAAAGCCCCGTAGTGAACAGGATCGAGCTGGACCGCAACACTGCATACACATACAGGAGCTCTCTGAAGAGATGAGACACACCAAATATCAAGTCAAGTCGAGCCTTATTGTCATTCCATCTAATGTGTGGAATAAAATGTGCCTCTCAGGACCACAGTGCAACATAAATAAACAATCATAAATATGAACACAACAATGGAGGTAAGAGCCATTTTAAACCTATACATAACTAACATAATGAAGTGGCAACCTTGCTATACAAACTCTGCATATACTATACATATACATACTTAACTATCTGCATAACCAGACAGACTATACAAGTACCTTTACATATACATAAGAATATTGTGCAAAATAGGTATTTTAAAGTTGATGAAAAAGCAGTGCAACATGATTTGTGGTACATTCACAAGTAAGCATTGTTTTCCTAATTGAGTCCTTGTAAGATGGAGTTTAACTAAATTGTTGGGCGCATATAGAGAGAGGAGTGTTTCTATGGGTGGTTTGTCAAGCCCACTCACCTGTGTGAAGCACAGTGTTTTTATAGATATGGAAAGTGATTGTAAGAAAGTGTGTGGTGCAAATGTGCAGACTGGTGCAAGTGTTCGGGAAAGTATTGCAAGATGCTTTAACATTTACTGTACCCTCAAAAAAAAAGAAAGAAAGAAAGAAACTATTTAGCCGCTAGTTACTTATTCAATAAATACTAGTGAACATTTATGGGATACTTGAACGTATAAAAAAATGACTAGTAAAATTTGTATTTAATTCTACTATGGCCATTCTGTAGTCTTAAAATACTATAGTCATAATACAAGATGAGAAAAAAGCAGATGTTGGTAGTAAGAGATTTATTTTTTTCTCAACAGAACAGTGGTACTGGCATCTCGTAACACAAGTACAGCAGTTTTTGTTAGACATTAAAATGCATACACACGCTTAAAAGCAAAGACAAAAATAAAATGAAATTATACACCAAATTTAGAAAGACTATCACTAAGTACGATCTAGAAAAATTCCAGAGGGATGACCAGACGCGCCAGAACCACTCAGATCAATAATTTAAATCGTAGGTTAATTCTTCCAGTGGTAAAAGTCTGGTCGCCTGACATATTGACAGAAGGTATCTGAACAGTTGACCATACTACTAGTATAAATGTTTTGGCCAAGTATATACAAAAATTCAATACACAGTTCCACTGTCCCCAGAGGTATACTTTCTGAATTGTACAAAGCAAATGTTTTTCCAATGAATTTTTGAATAGTTTTGTGAATCTCTTTCAATTACATTTTGATTTTGTTACAATACCAAAATACAGGTGTCAATGTCTGCCTTACATTTAAAACATAACTGAGAACAATTGGGAAATATTACATGGAGGCGAACTGGGGTTGGATAAATCCTGTAAATACATTTAGAAATTTGTTCATGTACCAAAACTGAAGTACTTTTAGGATAGATATTTGAGCAGGCGGATACCCATTCCTCATCACTAAAAATAGGCCCCAAATCCTTTTCCCATATCACCCTTAAAGAATCAAAGGTTGAAAACCCAATATTAGACAGCAATGTACTGTATACAACTCAGAAATCTTTAAGTCTCCATGAAGAAAAAAGCCATTTTTCTATTTCAGTAAGGTCAAATTGTATATTGCTTTATTTTAACTGTAACTTTAAAAAGTGTCAATTTTGAAAACATTTTTAAAAATCTTTACTGGGAAAACTAAACTCCTGTCTAAACCCCTGAAAGGATTTTATTTAGCCATCATCAAATAAGTGACGTAGTAGAACCTAAATAATAATGACTAGAATGTAAAAATATGCATTAGTATCTAATAAAGAAAAATGTGTATCAAATGAATTTTTAGTTTTGTTTTTAGTCCAAATATCTAAAAAGTCTTAAATCAAGAAGAATTTTCTAGGCAAGCAAAAGATTTCTTTAAGTGACAAAATTTAGTGAGTTTTCTCTTAAAACAAGAAAAATAATCTGCCAATGACGTGACATTATTTTGCTTATCCCATTGGCAGATGATTTTGCTTGCTTTAAGGAAAAGCTCACTTAATTTTGAAACATTGTTTCTTAAAACAATTGATTTAAGAACTTGATTTAAAAAAAATAGATATTTGGAATAGAAACAAGATTAAAAAAATGAGAAAAGCTTTTTTTAACAGTGTAACTATTTAATAAGTGGGTGTATATCTTATCTTTTAAAAGGACACCAGAAGCTTATGAATAATAAAATGTATATAATAAGTCATTGTTATAAAAGCCATTATCAAAAAAGTACTGGCAGCATATAATAGGTAGGAGACAGTTTTATAAATCAAATATTAAAACTGCCATGCACAAGAAAGAAAGATTTATTGCAATTTAGTTGTGTTTAAATGTTGTACGTGGCAATTTGGTGGCTTTGTCGGTGTGAAAAATAGAAGGCTTCAGTAATGCAGCACATATCATCTCTAATATTTACCTTCAACCGCCACAAAGAGCTGATCTCTGTTCTCTGAGCAGATGCTGTATGTTCTCCGGGCTACACACTGTGGACCTGTGACATCACAGGATAAATAAAACTTTATTAAACATGCTTTTTATTTACAGAGAAAGTTATACAGTATACTGTATCCCAAATCATGCCTGAGCTGTTCCACATAAATAATAATAGTAAGTATGAATATACAGACATACAGTAGAAATGCTGTTGGTTCAAAATGATAAATTATTATTTATTTATTTATATATTTATTAATTATTTATTTTATAATTATTTAGAATAATCTCTAAATTTTAATATAATAATTAAGTGTGGTTGAAATAATAGCAAATATTATTTATTCATTCATTCATTTATACATGTTCTTTTCGGCTTAGTCCCTTTATTCATCAGGGGTCGGACAGCGGAATGAACCGCCAACTTATCCAGCATATGTTTTACACAGCGGATGCCCTTCCAACTGGAACCTATCACTGGGAAACACCCATACACTCCTATACACACATACACTGGACAATTTAGCCTACCCAATTCACCTATAGCGCATGTCTTTAGATTTGTGGGGGAAACTGGAGCACCCAGGGGAATTCAACGCAAACACGGAGAACATGCAAACTCTAAACAGAAATGCCAACTGGCACAGCCGAGGCTCAAACCAGCGACCTTCTTGCAGTAAGACCTCCACTGCAGCACCGTAACACCCAAATATTACTTATTTAAGTATTATTTTAAAATGTCACTTGCTCATTAAATCAGTCTGTTGCAGTTACATTTTTTAGCAATAGCCCAAATACCATAATATGGGTCAACATTATTGATTTTCTTAATCTAGAAATTATCAATTATTGATTTATTATTATTATTGTATTATTTTATGCCAAAAAACATTACAATATTAGGTAAAGAAGTACATGGGATTTTTTTGTAAAATTCCTACTGTAAATATACCGAAACTTATTGTTTGGTTAGTAAAGTGCATTTCCAAGCACTTCTTTTAGACATCTTTAAAGCTGATTTTGTCATTATTTCAAAGTTTTGAACAATCAGATTCAAGTTTTTCAAACAGTTGTATATCAACAAGTGAAGTTCATTCATAAACTAATTTCGAGAGGATCACGTGCTTATGATTTATCACGGCCGGTCTCGCATTTGCTAATCACTATCTTCCAATCATATGAGCCCTAAGCTACAATAAATAGCCACAGTTTTCAGTTCACTTTATCTTTGTTTGGAAGATACCCCGCTCCTCCCCTATTCTCCTCCTTTACGTCTGATTGGGCAGCACGGCGGCCCAGTGGTTAGCACTGTGAGCCCCACAGCAAGAACACTGCCAGCCCTGGTCCAACAGGATGTTTCTGTGAGGAGTTTGTATGTTCTCCCCGTGTCCGCGTGGGTTTTCCCTGGGTTCTCCGGTTTCCTCCCACCATCCCAAGACATTCAACATACATAACAATCAAGCTTTATCTAACCCCTTGTGTTCCCTTAGCTAACGCAGCAGGGGAGTTCTGAGATCCACCAAGCTCAGGCTCCACTCTCGCTCTGCCAACGGGAGGAAGCCCCGGGCTCGAGGAGCCCTTGAGCTCTGGGCTCTCTCCCGGGACAGCATGCCAAACAAGCTTTTATAAATCATCAGCTAAGTGTGAACTCATTGTCCTATCCAAACAAAGCATTTATCAAGGTAATGCATATTTATTCAGTATCCTTCAGGTTATTTATTAAATCACAATTTAAAAAAACAGACACTTACAACTGGTTATGTGGTCCAGGGTCACAGATAAAATTAATTTTAGTATTATTTATTATCATTGTTGAAATGTTGTGTAAAATGATCCACTTCTTGTCTGTCTCTTTTGAACAATTTATTGCATCTTTGTTAAATAAAGATATTGATTATCTTAAAAAAATAGTTTTACTTACTTCTGAACAGTAATATTTTTTGTCATTTTATATATATTAATAAAAACCATTATAAAACATTTGTTATCATTAAATGCTTTATCACTTAAAAACACCATGTATCATTCACAAAAACTGTAAACGAAAAAAGGGATATGAGTTATATTTACCCTGTAGCTCAGGTCTGGCAGTGATGTGGAGTCTGGTGACTGTCCTCAGAGCAGTCAGTTTCCCCAGTGTTTTGCTCTCAGTGTGTGTGTTTGCGGGTCCCTCGTGGTCTCCTCTGTCCTGTAGCACCAGCGTGAGGTCCTGAGTATCTCCAGCAGGTCTGATCTGCCTGTGAAACGTTCTGAACAGCAGGTCGATGTGTTTCTCTCTCTCCACGCCAAAAGGAAGAGGCTGAGTGGTCACAGATGAGAAGGCCTGACACACACAGAAAAGAGAAACAGTCTGTCTCAAAGTCAAGGCTAATGTATGACAGTTGGCAATGTAAATCAGTGAGAATTGGCATGTGCAAGGCAGTGGGGAAAATAAGTATTGAACACAACATGTTTTTTTTCCAGGAAGAATCTCTCATACGGAGAATGAAGGCACATGAATTGCTCAGGTGTGATTTGATTCCACAGACTTCGACAGAGTATCAAAATCTTGATGGTGCTGTCGGTCTCGTCTATCAAATCTGATCTTTTTTTTTTGGATTTTATATTGGATTCAAGTAAGGTTATTGGCTGGGCCATTCTTCAGCTTATTTTTCTTTCTCTGAAAGAATTTGAGAGTTTCCTTGGCTGTGTTTTGGATCATTGTCTTGGTAAAATGTCCATTCTGGTTTCATCTTCATCATTCTAATAACTGAAGCAGCTAATATTAGGAAGGGCAGAGGGTTGCTGAAGAACTACTAAGAGATTTCAGCTGCTGTCTGGGCTTTCATTGTCTTCTACACTGCCCTTTCTTCATGTGTTCAATACTTTTTCCCCTGTCTTTTAATTACACGTAACTTCATTTCATATATTGATTGCTTTTGTTTTTAACAAGCATCTGGGGAAAAATTTAAGTCAAGAGCACCTTTAGAAACAGGTTTTCTGAGAAAAATAGTGACATGTTCAATAAATTTTTTTCCCACTGTATATATAATGAAACATTACATTGCGAGCAGAAATCAAATATGCATGCAATAAATAGTCAAAAATACAAAATTAATAAACAGCAATAGCAGTTTTTAAAAATTAATAATAAGAGCATTGGTGGGAAATAAAACATTTCTTATTGGTTAAATTAATCAACATTAATAATTACTCATATTATTTACTTTATATTATTATATAAAAAATGTATACACACACACACACACACACACACATACATATATATATATATATATATATATATATATATATATATATATATATACATACATACATACATACATACATACACACGCCACACGCACACAAATAGAATAAATTTTTAAAAACTAAAAAGTAAAGAATTTTTATATGTAAATATGTAATGTAAATAAGTAAAGAATTTTAATAAATAATATTAAATAAAAGATTTTATTAAAATGTTTAATTATAAAAACTGTATAAGACAAAATGTATAAGAAAGGGAGAGATAAATTAAAATAACTACTGAAATAGTGGATCTAGGATTTTCATAAAAACAAACACATTCAAGTTTTTGATTAATTCACAACTAAGGATTTTTTCGTTGTAACCATGCTAACATAACAAATCAAAGCATTGACTAAAATTTAATCAAATGTGAAATTAAGACTTTCTTACCATATCAGCGAATTGCTTGGCAGGTGCAGTAGGGATGGGAAGAGTGTTTTCCTTCAGCGATAAACAGATGCTGTGTGTTAGCAGCTCCACCCATACACACGTATCAGAAAGTGTGTGTTAAATGTCTATATATTTCCACCGAGCAGCAGCCCCTCCTGCCCCGCTCTCTTCCTCCCGGATCTGCTCTTTGTCTAACAGAATAGTTCCAGTAAGCCATGAAATTTAGATCCTCCTCAAGTCAGTTGGGAAGAGCTTTATTACCCAAAAACTGAAGCACTCCATGTGATTTAAACGGGTCAAGAACTGCCTCATCTTTATTTAGTAAGTTTTACGGAGGTCTACATATTATTTTTTTTAATGTATGTCAAACATTTATATAATTTATAAGCAACAAGCTGTTTTTCTGTCGTGTTTAGGCCACTCTCTCAGACTCCTAACAGCACACTGTTACCGTACGTTCACACCGAAAGCGGCGAGAGCGTCCAAGGTCGCTCTGGCCGCCCTGGCGACAACGCTGTCTGCCTTCAGCTCCTGCGGCGAGAGCGTCAAAACTCGCTACATTGATCTCGTACTTAAAGGAGCCATTGCAGCATATCAGTTACATTCCTGCATAAGACATGTTTTTAGCGTGAAAATGTTGCGCACTTCTTATCAAATTCATACAACAATGGAAGATCAAGTTGCATGTGGTGTGCCTTTGCTCTATTTATCCAATATGTGTCCATATGTCTGAAATATCCTGAAGCAGCAGGACTGTTTTGTACTGTCACATCGCGTGAGATTCCCGCTTTTTAAAGATAAATTTATATAACATTAATGAACATCAGTAACTCGCCAGTAACTTATTTAATGCATGTTCCTGTAAGAAAACATTGTAAATAATGGGAAATCCGGCGACCGCAATAATCAAACCCTTGGGAACAACTGTGGTCGGAACCAAAGTTCACAGGTCTGTGTTCTCTGAACTGCTATCAAGCGGTGGACGTCTTCATTCTGATTGCTTGCCGCCGAACCGCGTCATAGCTCATTACCATAAAGTTGACTTCATTTCAACTCTCCTCGACGCTCACGCCGGCGAAGACGCGCCGCGCTGCTCCTCGCCGCTTATCGACGCCTATCGCCGCCGGCTCTCATTGAAAATGAATGACTTCCGGCTACTTTGACGCTCTCGCCGCTTTCAGTGTGAACGTACGGTTAGAATGGGTGTGGCGCACTACAAATTGTCCACTGCTACGATTGGCTGACAATTTTGCATAATTAAGGTAAAGTCTAGATGGGAATCAGCTGCGAAACTCACATCATTATAGCATGTTTGTGACACAACATGTTCAACAATAATCAACATTTTTACATTACTGTGAGTGTTTAAGGTGGATGTAGGGGTTGAAGTTAATAAAATACAATTCAATGGGTAATTTTAATCAATAATATGAATACTTGGTAAAAATACTGTTTACAGTACATGTCTGTGATTTGGTTTGGTTTAGGGTTGGGGAATGGATAATTTACTTAATCATATAAATAATTCGAGTTGTCTGACCGCAGCTGTATCCCTTCTAGCAACATCCCTTACCATCTTCATAGATGGATACCAGGTGCTACAAAGTAACAAGTTACTGTAGTTAAATGACTTTTTTAATTTCGGCATGATTTAATAAGTTATTTTATAATATACTTGCCTTAAATACTGTGTAATTCAACAGTTCTATATGAATCAATTTAGAGAAGCAGAGTAATATACAATATATTTTGCTAAATAATTTTTCAACTAAAGAAGAATGCTAATTTACCAGGACAGCTGCTTGACCTTAAGAATAAAATGAATTAAGAAATCATTTCACAACATAGAAATTCAGGGTAGCTGAGTCATTGTAAATATTTATTTTGTGTTATTCAGACATTTTGCATATCAACTCAATTTCTCTACAACAAAAAAAGTTTTTAATTAAAAGTTAAATTTATGCTATTATATGTGAAATATGGTGTTATTACTTTTTTGAAAAGTTTTGTGCATTTGTAAAAATATTACTTACACTCTTGAATGTTAATTTTTTCAAACAAAAGGCAGTGTTTGAATTGAAGGAAATAAGAATTTTATTTTTTGTGTACTGAGATTTATAAATAATATTTAGTCAAGTAATTTAAGTAATTATTGAGTAATCAAGATGAATTTCTCAACTGAATTAGAAAGGTTGTTTAAATACGACTGTAATCATGTATTTAGTAAATAAATACTGAAGTAACTTAACACTGATGCGATGTAGGTGAAAAACGCACTGAGTACTATCAAACGATCTATAACAGACAAAGCATAGTGGCTTAAGGCTAGAAATGTAGCAGACCATGCTTTTAAATGTTACATATTTATCTCAGGAAAATAATCAAATGTTGAAGCAATATCAAACAGTAGGGTTGATAAAGAAATGGACAAGCAAATAACATGACTTTCCTTATTACAAGCAACTCAACAAAGCCTTTCCGAGTCTTGGATGGCTCCAAATTCAACCAGCGTTCTTCTCTGAAGATCACATTCATTAGTGCTACAGTGCAGCCATATTGCAGTGCTGAGAGTTAAATTACAGCAAAACACCACATTTTTATCTCCAGAGTCTCTTCAGGCAAGTGCTCCAGTCTTCTGCTGGAGTTTCTCTGTGTCCGCCATGTTGTTTTACACCTTTGTTCAGCCGGGGATGTCTCCAGCTGAGATTTCAGGAAGATATTTTTTGGGATCTCCAGGGAAGGGTTGGGACGGCGCCTGGTTAAAATGTCCTGTCAGGAAAATTCCGATGGTGCCCAGGATAAACAGCAGCGCCATGACAAAGAAGCACATCCTGTCAATCACCCTGGCGACCAGAAACCATTCCTCATTTTTCTAAACAGAAGAAGAAGAAAGGATGTCTGGAATTCAGACGTCAACAGCAGTTTGTCTGGGATTGAGAAGTTAAACCCGAACGCAAACATTGAGAGTGTTTATCTTGTATAATGAGAGACTCTTTTTAACCTCATGTTTGGAAGACTGTGGTGCAGTAACTCACACTTTGGAAGTCATTTTGATGCTTGGTGCTTTCTGCGATGTGTTTGCAGGAGGACACACACTGCTGCACTTCAGGGGAGGCCGCTGCTAAACTGCACTCCAGATCCTGTGCCGTGTTTCCCCCCAGACCATTCTCTGAGGTCAGAATAACACAGGATTAATGCCAGAAGCCATTTGGCAAAAACATCACTACAGAAAACCTTATTAAAAAGTGGTTAATAATATGTTTTATTAATATTATCTAAAATCTGCATTCATCTGTCTGTAAAAAAAATATTGCTGCCAAAATGTTCTTTTAGCTAAATCAATTTAACTTTTTTAGTCATTTCAGCTCACATTAATCAAACTAAACTAAAAATATTAAGTTGATTGTTAAAAAAAAAACTTCTTGTCACTCAATTGTTTACAGTGTATATACATTTATGTAAACAAAAAAAAATGAAAGAGTATAAACGAGCATGAAGGAACTAACTAATATAAAAAATACACTAATTACTGTTTAATAATATCATCCATTATTTGGTTCTGTATTTTGTGAAGGATGTTTTTCTGTTTATTTACGGTTATGAATTGCATAATGGGAAGTTGATCTCTGCTCTGTCGACTTTTAATGTTGAAAATTCAACTCTACAGTTGAACAAAGTGACTTTTATGGACATTTTAGTAGCTTGTGACAATATGTTATATAAGAAAAAACACATGGACAGTTAAGTCCATTATTTACAGAAAAATGTACTGGCAGTGTATTACCAGGTTTCTGTTCCAATATTTACAACCCAACCCAGACAATAAATCTCTTCATACTATTAAAATGTCTATAAAAGTCACCTTTCCACCTTTTTAACATTAAAAGTTGATGGAGGAAAGATCCCGTAAATCACAAATATATTGATATATTATAGTATATTTGATAATGAATATCAAGAATATTTTTTATTGTTGTTGAATATATAATACTGATTTAATAATGTGAATATATATTACTGATTTAATAATGCTCAATTAATTAGATAAAAAACACTGTAAAAAGCGATTGGTTACATAAAAAAGTAAGTAAGTCCTGTTGCCCTTAAAACAACAAGCTGAATAATTTTAATAATTACACACATAGTTAATTTAAATTAAGGTCCCGATTTTACTCACTTTTTAAAAAAAAAGTCAACTAGTCACGTTTTAGAATCTACATTCATTTTCCTTTGGCTTAGTCCCTTATTTATTACGGGTTGCCACAGTGGAATGAACCACCAACTATTCTGTACTGTATCAAAAATATATATATATTTTTTGTGTTTGTTCAAACAACTTATTCAAAATGAGCTGAATCGTCACAATTCTTGAGTTTTTTGGGGTCAAATTATTCCTTTCATGTTCAATCCACTTAAATTTTTTAAATCAATTAAGTTAGCTTAATCGGTTTGTGTTGGGACAACTTGAAGGATTTTTTTACAGTGTTAAAGAAATGATAATTTATTCAAGTCTTCTGAATTTTCAGCATGTTCGTTCATTTATTCATTTTCTTTCAGCTTAGTCTCTATTTCAGAAGTCGCCAACGCAGAATGAACCGCCAATTATTGTCCGCTATACCCAGCGGATGCCCTTCCAGCCAAAACCCATATTGGGAAACATCCATCCATACTCATTCACACACAACGGACAATTTAGTTTATTCAATTCACCTATACCGCATGTCTTTGGATTTGGAGTAAAACCAGAGCACAACGAGGAAACTCACACAGAAGTGCCAACTGGCCCAGCCTGGACTCGAACTAGCAACCTCCTTGCTGTGAGGCGACAGTGCTAACCACTTAGCCATCGTGCCGGTCATTTTCAGCATGTTGCCCACCCCTTATATTTGAATGATAGTGTATAAGTAGTTTGTTCGTGATCATTTACTGACGTATTTTCTCCAGAGTGTTCTTCAGCAGCCCCTTCCTCTCCTTCAGTCGGCTGAACATGAGCTCGGATCGTGCCGTTCTGAACATGTATTCATCCGCCTTTGCTATTAACCCTAAAGAGCTGCGTCTCCTGCGGCGGAGCGGAGTTCCATTGCCCAGAGCGAACATCTTAAAATCCCCTTCCTCCTGCTCAGGTGTCCAGCGCTGCATCGTCATCCTCAGCACTCGAGGAAGGATGTTCAACAACACCTGAGCAATCATAAAATACAGGGAAAAGCGTATCAGGGTAAAGTTGCTTTTATATTCGTACATTCAGACTTTCTCCTTGATAATATAATTTCAGTAAAGTATTGTTTGCAAATTCTAAATATGGAAATCATTTTAGCAGCCAATGGCTATCAACAACATTGTTCACAGTCAATTAAACAGTGCTAATGTTGTTTTGAATTTATACTTACTGTACATGCGATTTCAGACCCAATATTCAAAGTAAAGTGGTAAAAACAGGGACTATA